AATCCAACAAAATATTCTGTTTCTAAAGTATCTAATTATAATTAATAAGAAAGTAGCCTCCAGAGATCTTACAATAATAACACAGCATCAGTTGATTCTAATACAAATGCTTGAAGATCGAGTTCTCTGAAGTGATAACATTTAAATATTTAACTGAATCGTTTGAGATTAGAGAATTCAAGTACCTAACTAATTGCTAGTTACAGACATGCGCAGCTTTATTAACTTGATATTGGTGTACTTTCTAATATACATTTATTTATGTTCTACATTCTAAGATAGAATTTGGGATTATTTAGTTTTTAAGCTAAAATTTAGCACTCGAGTTTTCAGTAGAATAAAACCCATTCAATGACCAGCTGAGAATTTCAGTTTCAAGAGATGTTGTCATGAACTCAGCTGGGCTGATGTAAGAAATATGACTTTAGGCGTTGAATGTTGCTTCTTTTAGTTATGCCCCCAGTGGCACAGTGGTATGTCTGCGGACTTACAACGCTAGAATCCGGGTTTCGATACCCGTGGTTGGCAGAGCACAGATAGCCCATGGTGTAGCTTTGTGCTAAATTACGAACAAACAAACCTTTAGTTATATATTTACAAACATCTTCCTGCAAAAGTGAAAACATAATTGTTATGGGGTTATGAGTTAATATAGCTGTATACGTTGAATGTGGCGTCCGTTAGTTACATATTAACAAAACACCTTCATACAAAATTGTTATGGGTTATGAGTTAATATAAGGATATTCAGTTGGCTTATCATCCAACTTGTTCTATTATAGAATTATTTGTTGGAATGTGAAGTGAATCAAACTTGTGGCTATGAATCATCCGACTTACCATTTCATGTAGACCTATTGTTGCTTGTTTACTATGTTTAAATTAAACGTTAGATCAGAGCTTGTAGGAAGTTAAACTAGCAGATTTTTCTTTTATTACAGTTGCCGGGATCATCTTCGTTACACTTCGAAATGTAGACTATTTGTGGAAGATTGTTTTTTATAATTTCTCAAGTACAATGTGACATTTGCAAAGTACATTCAATTTTCTTTGTGGTTGTGCTCTTATTGTATTACCGCCAGATGAGCTTGCCAAAGATCCTCAGTCTAATAAATTATCTTTTAACCACTTCCAAATTCAACATTATTGTAGTTCAAGATAGTAATATTTGTTATAAATTAAGATTAAATAAATATTGCCGTGACGTCCTCCTGCACTTCCTTAATAACAAATGGATTAATAGGATGTACCATCTCTCGAAAGATACGTTGATAACGCTGGTATTCCTAAATCCAGTGGTATTATTTGTCATATTTTTAACTTAATCTTTTATTATTCAGTGTTTTGATATTTTAGAAACTTATATTTAATTTCCAGCTCATTTGGTCACTGGATGATCTAAATTGACTTTGTCCCAACCAAAATAATTTTTATTATTAAAAGAGCATTATGATTTATCTCGCTCCTTTTTGAGTCAATAAGAGCTTCATTCTTTTTTAATATTCATATGGATCAATGGTTAATAAACTACTTTACTGGTTACCAAAAGTATATGTTGAAGAACCTTCTGTTGTAGACTGAATGTAATCTTATTCTGTAATCAAATAGAGCCTCTTCAAAAGACTGTTATGTTGTCCGATTTGGAAATCTCCTTTTGCTGCAATTAATTTTTGTCAACTTATTAATATTCTTTGTTAGCTACACTAATGGCTTCTATTTGTCCTTCTTTTTGGACGAACTGCCTTCACTAGGTCGATTCAGATAAGTATATTTATCACTGCGTCTATATCATATCTCAGTAGTCTCAGTCATTATTGTATCACTTTTAATGCACCTATGAGGTATTGTTCAAGTTGTCACTTTTTGAGTTGAGTCTTCTTGGCTGCATGGTGGGTTTCTTTGGGTCAACAGACATTTACATACTTTTACTCTCAGGAAAATAATACACTGACGATCTACAAAAGAAATGTACTTAAGTTTAAGGTCTGACAATGCCTGATGGTTTGGGCGCTTGACTCGCAATATGCGGGTCGTCGGTCAAATCCTATCATCGAACATGCTCGTCCTTTCAGCCGTGGAGGCGTTATAAAGTGACGTTAGATTCCACTTTTTGTTCGAAAAGAGTGGCCCAAGAGTTGGCTCTGGGTGGTGTTAACTATCTTCCCTACCAATATGTTTATCACTTCTAAATTAGGAACGGCTAGCACAGATAGCCCTCGAGTAGCTTTGTGCGAAATTCGACAATTCAAACAAGCAAAATTTAAGCTTAATTGAATTCTATAACAATTTGCTCTGAAACACATAACTGGACATCCTCACGCACTAGACGAGTCACCCTAAGTATCATTATTTCTTTGCTTAGAAAACTGTTTCACTGAAGGCTTGATACTATTCACACTTGTTTCTTCCTCGATAGATGTAGCTTCAATGTTGCCTTACTTAAAATTATGCTTCATGACTTTCCATGCAATGGTATCTGACGTAAATTTATACCAATCATTTTCTTTTAAATTATCCCTTCTGTTTTTCATGCTTATTCAATTTTTCAAATGTTTATTATTTCTCATCACTAAATGGTTATATTTACTTTCTTCTTCTCAGCACATTTTTCCTTGACGCTTAAGGCTTTTACTACTTAAGTTTTTATTACTAAAATGAGTAAAGTGTGATGTTAGTTGTAACCAAATTTATGACGTCGTTTTTGTTTCAAGAATTTGTTCACTATATTTAGTTCAACCATAATTTAATCATGAGGATCACGAAGTATATTTGAAACAAAAGAAGAAACAAATACCATCGTCTACTTAGATCAGTACTTCTCAACTGGTAAATTGGTTAACCCAGAGGTTAATGGGATTAGAATCAGGGTAAATGAGAATGATTGGGTGAATGGCAGGGTGAATGATTATTATCAATTATACTCTGGTTCGGGGCCCTTTCTAAATGATTGTTTGAAAACAAATTTAAAACATTATTTTTCATGTCTATCATGCATAGTAAAGCGCTGTGTATTATCTTCATTTCTAAAACGAGTCTTCACCATACTGTGACAAAGTTTGCTTCAAAAAGATTAAATAATGTCTAATAGTTAATGATAGAGAAACATCCGGTTCTTCTCATATTTCTTCTACTTATACTCATTCTACTTAGATTTAACCTTCCTCTCCTCACATGGCCCGGCATGGCCAGATGGTTAGGGCGCTCGACTCGCAGTCTGCGGTCGCGGGTTCAAATCCCCGTCACACCAAACATGCTCGCCCTTTCAGTAAAAATCCCACTATTCGTTGGTAAAAAAGTAGCCCAAGAGTCGGCGGTGGATGGTGATGACTAGCTGCCTTCCCTCTAGTCTTACACTGCTAAATTAGGGACGGTTAGCGCAGATAGGCCTCGTGTAGATTAGCGCGAAATTCAAAAACAAACAAACTCCTCACATATGTTAAAATATTCAGTTTTTCTCACCGTAAGGACCTTTAATATTTTTTCAGTTCTTGTTATGCACGTTTCTTTTGAATATCTTACAATCTCTTGTTTAATTATTATTAAAACACACAATATAGAAGGGATAAGAACATGCTTAACTTCAGAATTTTATTTCAGTTATGCTGGAGTTTGCCGTCAAAGGTTTTCGCGTTAAATGTATTGATAATTCAATTCCCGTACTTTTTTTCGAACTGGGGTGAGTGAGCTGTTGTGAAAAACTTAAAGGAGTGAATGATATTGGAAAAGGTTGAGAAGCACTAACTGATGATAAAAGCTGACACTACTCGATAACTCCGTTTTGAGCTGGTTATTGTTGAAATTTCTTGCTTGATTCGTTTTACGTCTTCACGTTACAATCCTCCAGACAGAGCAAAGTGAAGACTACTCCAGTGCTAAATGAAGCTGTAAATGTGAATAGTTACAAACTTTTAGTCTGGATTGAAGAATTGATACTTAGATGTATAAATAACATAAAATAGTAAATAGTTTGGCGGTGTTTGTATTTTCCATTCGAGCCATAGAAACATTACTTAAACTAACTAATCCAGTACAATCCTGGTAAGATTCAGCATTTAAAATGAGAGTGCAAAGGACTTTAAAGTCGCCAAACAAGGATAATAACAATATAATTAACAGGTGAACACTAGAATCCGGGTTTCGATACCCGTGGTGGGCAGAGCACAGATAGCCCATTGTGCAGCTTTGTGCTTAATTACAAACAATAATGCTTTACTAAATTCAGTTTACCCATTCGTGAGATATTTATGCAACATGTTCTACATATTTTTGGATACTTTGTGAGCGCTGAAAAACTTGCAAGGCCCATCGTTTTAAAAATGATCGAAAACGTTTGCTTGTTGTGATGCTCGACAGCACTCAATCTTTTCGATTAATCGCAGATGGAAGTTGCTTTATCAAGTTTTGAAGAGAGAGCCGAATATGGTGTGTAAGCAAGATGATGGACAAATCGAAAGTGGCTGTCTTGTGCCAAGTGTGAAGTGTTTATGCTGTGGTTAGCACACTGCTACTTGGTACATCGAGAGAGGACCTTATATACGAAGTATTTGCAAGTATAAATGCCCATGGATGTCAAGAGATCTTTAATGAACGCGTTCCTTGGGTCACTGCAAGGGGTTTGGGCAACTGGCCAATATATTATTCTAGTGAGACGATGCTCCCTGATACAGTCATCCATGGCTTGTTTCGAGGTAACGAGATCAGCATCTAAGAATCCTGATCTAAACTCTCAGTGAACATCCTTGTGACCATTTCGATGGATTAATTCAAAAGGTTAAAACACAATCTTTCATTCGCTATCAACTGATCAAGTGTTTCAAACAACAATGGAGACAACTTACACCAAATGCTCGTAACTGTCGGAACCTAGTTGAGAGCATGCCTTACAGATTAGCAACATTACATGTTATTAAGACAGTGATTACTAAAACATCCTCTATGAATGCATTTCTAGTTACCTTTGAAAGGACAGTGTAACTTAACAAAATAAAAAATAGAAAATCTGCACAAGCATTCACTTTATTATACGTTATATTGCCGCAAACACAACATATGTACAAAAATCTTATCTATTGGTTAAAAGAAAAAAGATACAGATATATATATCCAATGACGCTTCTACGAAATGGAATGATAGATTATTTTTTCGTACACAAATTCAGCAGTGAAAATTAAGTATACCTTTCTTTGTATTATACAATATACAATTTCCATTTAGCCTGATTGTTTTGATTTGGGGTAAAAAAAATGACCTAAAGCTATCGAATAAATATGAGACGAAGTATGCATTAACATTTACAACAGTTATGGGTTAAAATGAAGCCAGAGGGGAAAAATATGTTATTTGACATATATATGGATCCATCGTTTAAAATATTTCTTATATTTATCTTCATTCATTAAATATGATTTTCACGGAATTAGCTCGAAGAAAGAGTAATTATAAAGCTGAAAATATCAAGTTTATAAGGATTCGTCATTGTAACATACTTTATTATAATAATTAGAAAATATAACAAACACAAAATGAAATAAAATAATTTGATGCAGAAATCACCCAGCTTACGTACTTTGTGATATAGCGTACACCACACAAACACTTGAACCATGTAACAAACCAAAAGTATTACAACACGTACCAAACAACTCACTTATTTATCTCACATAGCAGTAAAAAAAAAATCTGGCAGAATTACATAATGCAACACTTACTACACCGCTACGTTATATAATGTGACAGGCTTCAAACAGACAGAAGTCTGTGATGTGATAAACAACAAACTTGCTGTTACGTGTTGTTACTAACACTAAAATGACAACAGTTAAGTTATGTAACAGACGAAAAAATGACAGATCTAAATGATGTAGCATTGCAGACATCAAGCTGACAGTTATATGATGTAATAAAGTCAAATCTGACAGAGTTACGTGCGTAACAGACTCAAATCTGACAGAGTTATGCGATGTAACAAACTCAAAACTGACAGACTTGTGTGATGTAACAGACTCACAGCTTACAGAATTATGCAATCAACAGAAACTACTATCACGAATATAACCCTACGTAACAGAAACAAAATTTCTCATGTAGTAAAAACGAAAACTGGAGAAAATTATGTTATACAACAAACATTGGATTTATTTCCTGAAAGACATGCCTTAATAGGATACATCAAACTAAATTACATTTTAATTTTACAGAAAATGGAACCTTAGAGAACAGTTGACTATCAACTGTTCACCATAGTGACTCTGTATTTGTCACATTCATGTCTTCAGACCTCTTAAACCATGAAGCATTTTTTCCACAATGAGTTGAGCTGTTACATTTCTTTTCTTTGTGTTTTTATATCATCTTATTCGTTTCGGTTGTACCACATTTACTTCTAGTAATAACTCTCACCTGTTCTTGTCGTATGACCATAATTAAGATTATTAAGTAACAGACGGCCAAACAAACATAGAATTATTCTCATCCACACGTGACCCTGTAGCAACTGGGATTATGCAAAATGTACTACATGAAAATTAGGATAACATGAAGATGTATTTGTCGGTGAAATGTACAACTGTGGCTCTAGTAACGGTGTAGTCTAAATATATATAATTAATAAATACCTAGAAAACTCTAAAATGCCAATAGTTGTTATCTTGTACAATGGCAGGTGCTCATATAGTATCGAACACCCTTACAAATCATCCAAAAAGCTGTTATATTTTCACACAGGAATGAAAAATCTCAAGGTTTTATCACAAACTGATCTTTACAGTTTCAGCGTAGCACAAAAATATCAAGATTAACAGTAATATTGTAGTATCAATGACCTTAAAGTCATTTTTATAACTATACAAATGTAGCCTAGTTTAAGTTTACTGATAAACAAGTTGGTAATAAGGAATTTTACAGGTAACCTGTAAAGAACACTTCATTTTTACTGTCAGATTACTGATTACAGAAAGACAATTTTCAACAGTTAAAGATATTTGAATTGTTCATTAAAGAAGTCCGAATTTCAGTTACCGAATTTCTAAACAATATCAACAAGTAGCTTAATATATAATAGTTTTAATCTCAAAGTGTGTATATTTACATAACGTTTCTTTCTATATTTCTTTATTTGAACATTCATACATATTGAACAAAATTATTCTAAGACATTACAGTAAGTTGCTAGTGCCAATTACCAATGGCAACAACAACAACAGAGACAACTATTCGAACAAGTTGAGGGAGTACATAAATACTCTCTTTTTTTTTCTCCAAAAATCTTCATTACATAGTCAAATGTAATACTATATAAACCATAATATATTAAATTGTATTCATATAATAAATACACTTCTTTTGATAGTTCATTACATACATGATTTATGCGTTAGGCACTGTTTCTAAGTTTCTTTCACAAAAACAAAAGAGCACACTTTCCTTTAATTTGAGATAACCACCGAGAATTTGGTTATAAAGACAGATAGTGTGAAGGATAAACGTACAAGCATCACAGGTTCTGATCCCAAGGACTATAAATCTATCAAGCACAGCTTTTCGTGTGGGCTGACATATCGAACAATGCAAAAAATTCTTTATTCTTTTACCATAGCTTGTTTTGATCTTTCACTCCGAGTAACGCAATTATTAACACTCAAGAGAGACGCAATAAGCTAAGCGTGAATAAAATCTAAGTTATAAGAAAAGTAAAAGAGTCAGTAACATAAACGTGAGTATATTAATCTCAGGGAATCAGAAAGATAATTAATTGATAAGAATAAATGAAAAAATCTATCCAAGAATACACTAACGTATTTTATTAAGACTGTGAAATTAAAATCAGTTACATTAAAAAAATAAAGAACATTTGATAAAATCAAAGAGAAAATGGAACATAGATGAAAATAAAACTAAACAAAAATAAAATGAGTAATGAGCAAAGAAAACGACCAAAGGATGCCACTTCTTGGAAGAAAGCAAAAAGAAAATGAGCAAGATAATTTCAAAATAATATTTAAAATGGCCAAGTGGAGAAGAATTTATCAAATAAAGACTGACGTAGAGCAACTTTTAAGAAGTGGAAGATAAGACATGATAAAACTATTCGAAACATGCTCTAAAGATACGGATTTTTAATGAGCGTTTTAGATGGAAAGCGTTTAATAAAGATTGTGTTCTGACGATGTAATATTCTATTAAAAGGCGAGCCCTTTTGTGTTCATTTTTCTCGAATATTTTATTTTCCAGAAAAATTAACTGAGAGATATGTAGGAAGATGTATAAAGGTGTGTCAAGGGTACCTTAAGGAGAGGAGAAGAAAGAAGAAAGATTTAAAGAAAGAGGCATAATCAGAGGAGAAATGAAAAGGAGGAAAATTTAAAAAGAGACATAGGAAACGAAAGGAAAAATAATGTTAGAAAGTCCAGGGCAATATAAACAAAGTATTCTTATAATAGGTGGCAGTTTAAAGACAAAAGAAAGAAATTTGATGAAATACGTAAAAATTCGAGAATAACAAGAGAAACAAAGAAAGAAAGAAAATACGATCGACTTAAAAAGGAGAAAGAAATAGGAAGTGTAAGAAGACGGAAAATAGAAGAGAAAACAAAATAGAGAAAAAATAAAAAACAAAGTAGAGATAAATTGTATCACTTCAAGAGGACAAATTCTTCAAAAAAAATAATAGCATCTTCTCTCACTCATTTTAATCAACAGCATGACACATCAAGCCCGTGACAGCTATGATTGTCTGATTAGCCTTGGGACTTTGTGTCATATTAGTGGGATCCATCAAACTTACAGTTGTGCTTGTGCTTTTCTTTGATAAAAAAGCTTAGAGCTGCGCTATTTCTTTCATGTCATTGTTACTGAAATGTTTAAAATAAACTACAACTATAATACATACATACATATATATATATATATATATTAATTTTAAACATGCCCACCTAAGACTGTGCTAACACATTTTGATTTCACAAACTCACCAAGAAACACCTATAGCAGCAGTAATAAATCACTTTCTGGGAGAAAATATATAGATTTTTTTTTCTCAGATTACAAACAATGTTCTTGGCTAATCAACTGATCTGTCTTTATCAATTGTTTTTCTCGGGTCATTCTTCATTGCAGTCCAAACCTCTAGTAACTTCACAAACACCACACACAGAGGTTGAGTTTAAGCGATCATCCAAATAGATATCTTGTTTTGTGTCTTCTGCTAGCTATTTTAGAACCATGATGTATTTTCTACATTTTAATAGGAGTAGAGAAAGATAGTCATTTTATTTGTGAAACTTTCTTTAATGCTGATTACTCAGACATCATGCAATTGACACGTAACAACAACGCACTGCATTCAAGACTTTTCTTTGGACAGAAGAGCTGTTTCTGATTGGTTACTTTGAAACATTGTATTCTGTAATGTCCTCTTCCACTTATCTATTGTGTCTTTTAACTTGGACAACCATGTGGCCTAAGAAAGAGGAAAACAAATTATGAGTAATCATGTTCTGGTTGAACTCAATAACAGATTAAGCCATTGACTTTTATCAGCTAACGAGTTGGGTCAGGAGTCAATATTTATTATATAAAGATCACATTTTTTGTCTTATTTCTAATCATATATTTGTATAAAAACTTTTGAGTTCGTTTTTTTCGTAACCAAATCTAAAACAATCATGTGTATCCTGGACAAAATTTGCAAAATAAATATATATTTACCTTTATTAGATTACATGTTCACTCTTTCTTTATAACAGCTTGTAATCCTTTAATGTTTATTATAAAAATACTTACAGAACACGGTATATGCTAAATAATAAAATCACAGTTTAATTTCTCACATGTACAGACACCTTATTCAAAGTAAGTATTTTATACTTACAAAGATGTAACAGAATCATAGTAAAGAAGTTTACTATTAGTAAGTGTTTTAATTCTTTGACATCTTCATTAAAGATTTCACCACACATACACATGAATGATATACATTTTTCTTACGTTATGTTTAGTAGAAAAAAAACAAATGTTAATTGTTTAATGAACAATAAAAACATATTACTGTATTTTTAAAATGAGTTGAATTAAAATCACCCACACTTTAAATACGATACCATTGAGTTAAAATACCAAGCGTACTATTTTCGAAGCATAAGTGATTATTTTGAAAGAATATCAAGAAGTTTTTGCTTAGAAATTCTTCTTCTAATTTAAATCTAAATTTCATTGTATATAAATGTTGCCCTCTCTTGCCAATGCATCACTTAGATAAATAAATAAATAATGTTTCAAAAGTAATTATACAATCCAGAAAATGAGCGCAAAACAAATAAAAACGAACATCTTGAATTTGTATCTTACAAAAAAAAAAAACAGAAATTCTACAAAAAAATATGAAATTATAAAAATCATGAGGAGCCATTATAGCCTTGAGATCTTTGCCTAATTTCTTTTTATACGTTTTGACCCAGATAATATCTCTTGTCCTTACGAATACATTTTCTTTGCGTTTGGATATTCCTCAGCAATTTATCATACATGTTGAGGTCCAGGTAGTACCTTCATTGCAAATTTAGTAAGTTTAGTCGCTCTTCAAAGGTTTTAGTTATGTGTATTGTAATCCTTTCAGTCACTAAGCATTTTACTTGACATTTTTCTTTCCCCTTTACCCGAGCATCTTGTAACCTTTGCTATCCCTAGCCCATTCCAATCTATTTTATACCATTGCCATTTTCTTTAATATTTATCCTTATATTTTTGCGCGAATATCTCAGCATTCCTTTTACTCGTGCCCTTTTCCCTAATCCTTTTACCTATATTTTGTAAAATTTAACATTACTTTAAGCCGTCTCCATTCCACTTGTAAGTGCTTCAACCAAATATCCTGTATTTTGTAATCTTCACCGTTACATTTTATATTTTTACCGGTGGGACAGCGGTAAGTTTACGTAACAACAACCCTAAAATCCGGGGTTCGATTCCCTGCGATAGATACAGCAGATAGACCAATATTACTTTGTTCTAAAACAAAAAAATCTTATCGTTAAACTAAGTAACGTGTACTTTACAATTTGAACAAAATATTTATCATCCAAATAGCTACTTAATTTCAATCGAAGTTTGCCAGAGAAATGAACGTTTTTGCTCTTGTGAGATCTATAGCGCTTATTGACCATTTTCAAAAAATCATGTAAATTCATTACAAAGAATATGAGATAGAAATATTTTGAAATCCTTCTAGACATATTTAGTAAATTTACTATTTGACAAAACCACGCGTTAAAGTTTTTATCCTTCATTATCGAGAGTATTCCAGTGATACCGTTATATATCAACTTAATATTATGTTATGATTTTAGTTCAGATTGTGACCACCTGAGAGTTTTATCTTCAATACCTTTTCTGTTAGCTTCCATTAATCCTCCACTACGTATTGGCTTCCTGCCAATAATTTCCCCCAGAAAACAATTCATTAAAATGTATGAACTTTTCTGACTTTCTTTTTTTTTTTAATTGCAGTAGAAGTAATATTTTACTTCCATGTTTTCTGCTTACAACGGAATTATTCTTATGATACCTTCTTGTATTAGTGCATAACTTATTGGTATACAAAACTCATGCCAACAGAAACTTTGTTAGCTAGTTTACAACTGCTCGGTGTACTAAATTATGGATGCTCAAATGATGTTTATAGTTGGTTGTCTTTGTATTTATGATAATACACATTTATTGGATAGAAGCATTATAAATCATACTTTTTTAGTAGAATTATCCATAATTTTCCCTAGTTGTGCATCAAACGTCAGTTGTGTACTGAATTCCAACCAGTAATCTGTGTGACGTCGATACTGTATATTTCATGTTCTGTATTACAGCATTAAACTTAAAAAATTTCCTAAGTTAATGGGGAAAACAAGTATTTTTTTTCTAATATTTAATTCAAAAACTTTCTCTTGGAAGTAAAAAAAGATAGATTAATATCCACTACCAGCGTGTTTAAGTGAAATGAAGTCACTATTAAACATTGGCGTGTTTACGTGGAATAACAATGACACTAATCACTACCGGCATGTTTACGTGGAATAAAGAAGTCGTGTTCACTACAGCCGTGTTTACGTGTAACAAAGTGTCCGTTCACTACAGCCGTGATTACGTGTAATAAAGAAGTCACTGTTCACCCCCGGCGGTTTACATTGAATAAAGAAGTCACTGTTCACCCCTGGCGGTTTGCATTGAATAAAGAAGTAATTATTCAGTATATACGTGCTCAAGTTATAAAAAATCGCTATTCACTATCGGTGTGTTTATGTGGAATAAAGAAATTACTGTTCACTACCGGTGTGTTTATGTGGA